GAACATTTTTCCCCGGGGCCAAGGGGTTTAAAAAAAAAAAAAAAAAAAAAAAAAAAACTGCTGCCAGGCATTGATGGGTCCTCCCGCTGTACCTGTGTTGGATTGGGTTCAGGGGTCACCAGTCACAGGCAATCAGGAGTAAATGGAGCCTGTGTAACTCTAAAAAAAAAGAGCTTTAGAACAAAGCCAAGGCCATGGGTTTGTGCGCGTGCGTGTGCGGTCTTGCTCGACACCCCTATTTCACTCAACCTTATCCAACGTAACAGGATTTATTCTCCTTTATTTCCAAACGGCCGACCTTGCTGACAATCGTTATTTCTCCACGGGATGGCAAACATCCCCAAAAAGACCACTTTTGATTTTAAATGAAATTTTTGAGCATGATGCCCCCCGCCCCAATTGTAATTGCCCAACATCGCATGTTCATCTGCTGGCTAATCCCGTTTCAGCGTCCGATTGTCTCCCAGCCTGAAAGATGACGATCAGCATGACATGTGGAAAGCAAGCAGTTCTGCCGAGCCATATACCAGGAGAGGGGTGGGGGGGCTCCTATCAGAGAGGCATTAAATGCACTGATCCGCTTGCTTCTTCATAAAGCGTCATCCCATTTACCAGCTCTGTCAAAGAGAGCAAGCATAACAATTTGCATAATGCAGAGTCTTCACTATGTTAATTCTGTCTGCACTCAGCCATCTATGAGGCCTGTTTGGACATGTCCCCTCTCTCTCTCCGTACGTTGTGTGCACGAGTGTGGTTCCCACTATGCCGGCATGTCAATGACTGTGGGAGATTATGAAGGTAAATGAGGCTCTCCAAAGCCCTCCAAGCTCTCCATCCTGCACTGTGATAGTCAGTGATACCGCAGGGCATCACAGGAGGAGCAATAGAAGTGCATTACTGCCAAAATCACATTGCTATCCTCCAGTGAGGGGTGTAAGTTACCGGGGAAATGGCTGGAGCACACGGCAGGCGAGGAGGTGGGAATGAGCGGAAGCTTCGGTGCAATTTCCATTGACACATGTGATCTCTTTAATTTTCCAGCTGGGTGAAAAATGGAAGATGACTTGATTAAATTCTGCCTCGGCTGGATTCTGATGCAAAGTGGCACATGACTGCACTTTTTTTTCTTTCCCCGATGCCTTTGTATGAAGTTTGAATGTGTATAAGGAGGAGAAGTCTTCCTTAGATCCCGCAAAACCGCTGTAGCTCATCAATCTTTCAGCGTTCTGTCATGCGGGGCCATGTCAGCGAGAGCCGGCTTTCATCAACGCCGACATAACATCACTGACTTCACTGCCAATGCTCCTTTACAGTAGAGAGAATTATGATTTGATATGATGATGGTATTCCAAGTTTGCCTCATGCACTTAAAAAGGAGTGAACTCTCTCCATTTGATATGATCGTTCATTCCTGATGGTGATAGACAGAATATACGTATAAATGCATTTTAAAGAATGACCATTACGTGCTCTCGATCTGGAGTCGCCTTAATTTGTTCGTGAACAACTATAGGGGATGAAGAAGAAGAGGAAGAAGAAAGTGATGTGCCCATGAAACCAAAGGTGAGCTATTTGCCAATAGCAGATATTTGCATACGTTACATATAAATCCCAATTATAGTAACTACGGCATTGGTATAAAACACATAAAGATAAACATGAAAAGCAGTGCGATGTATGGCGGTCGGGTCATAAACCAAAGACTTTCCGTAAATTTACGAACCATGCAGAATCACTTCCCTCGAGCATTGTAATCGGAAGGCAACTCACAATAATTTAAGAATAATTTGAGGCAGGGAGGGTTTTGGGAAAGACTCCGGGTGAGCCGACAAGAAAAAGGGTCAAGTACTGTAACGGGGTCTGGAAAATGGTTTACCAAAAGAAACTCTTCAAGCCAACAATGCTTTGACTGCCATCTAGTGGACCATCGGGAGCGTTACATTTGAAGGCAGCCGTAGCTGGAATGTTCGTTGCGGTTTGCTGAGGTCACTATTGGCCCCGTGGGAATGGAACAATGGAACAATTGGGTCTCCTTACCAGTCTTTGAATAGTTAACTCAATTCCAAACAGTTTTAACCACAAACGTAATCATAGTTTGAACGAGCATTAAGACTATTTTTTAATTAAACATCATAATGAGACACCACCGTAATATTTTTCAGCAATCCATCGCGCTGAGGGTTTACACAATGAATTACCTCAGCCTGGGTCAATCAAAACGGAACAATGTATACAGTATTTTTTTTTAATCCTAGAATACGGGTTTTCTATATCATTGATGGAGAATGAAAATAAGGATGATATGTTGCAAAGTGATGACGGCGGCGAAGGGGGTCGATTTCTCTTTAAGAAGTTTTTTTTTAGGGGCAAGTCAGTGCATCTATCTCGGTGGCGGGGCTGTTGGGAAGGCGTGAGGGGGGGGGTTTAACAGCAGAAAGACAGCAAGACGTGTTTTCGTCTTCAGCCTCCTAACTTCAAATCGCCAGGTGCTGTTTGGACTGGAAGAAACGCGGACGCGTTGTCGCAGCACCTCCTCCCGTGTGAGCAAGCAATTGAAGGCAGGTAAGAGAGCTTGTATATACACCAAGCTCGCCTTGCCTCCCGTCCTCAGCAATCTTTGGCGGTGTCATTAACCGCCACTGGCATCGATTGTGACCGTCTCGGAACGCTCATAGTTTGGCGTTTTGGAACGGTGATACCGGATGCGATGCGCTGTGTTTGCAAACATCTGCCGCACAGCTGCCCCCTCCCCGGCCCTGCACCAAGGACACGCAGCGTCGGAAGAAGCTGTTGCGTAGTTTGAAACCAGACTCTTCCCACTGTTTGTGTCCTCGAAACAGAATCTGGAGCAGGGCCACAGCAGGAACGTGTGTGATTCGTCACAGTTCGATGTTGGTTTTCAGTGAGACTATTTTGGACTTTCTCTCTTGTTGTGACCTACTTGTCTTTGATGGACATGCCACAATATTGACTGCATGCATTGTCAAGAGGAGTTGAATTGTCCTTTTGAATGCCCTGTATAGACAGAATCGTCTGTTCTAAATATATCCGCAGGCAACGGGGACACAGTAACTGTGCAGTTCCCATCCTTTTTTTTCTTAATAGGATGTCAATGAAATGACTTGTCCTCCAAACTAAAAACAGCCAACAATTGCTCTGTAACTGATTTGCAAGCATTGATTCTCCTTACCCCAGTGACATCAAAGTACAAGAATTTTAGGCCACTTTTGCACACCCTCTTTCTTGTCTTGTTGTTTCTGGATTATTTTTTTTATGCAAGTAAACCAGCCATTATCCCCGGTAGGCTATTTTTATTTTATTTCTTTATTGTCCCATGAGACCTTTTGGTGTGAAACACGTTTGGTGAATAAAATGTAATAAAGGTTGTCATTCCTTGACAGGAGTTGAAAATGGCCGCCAGAGTGCTGTATATATCGACGGTGATCTCCACACTCTTCGGTGCCATACTTGGATGTCCAACAGTTTGTACCTGCTCAATTAAATATGGACGTTCCTTTGCGGAATGCCCCGACAGAGACTTGGTTGAGATCCCAACGGGCTTGCCTCGCAATGTCAACGTTGTTATTTTCTCAGCAAACAAGATCCGTTCGGTACCACGAGGCATCTTTCGCAATGTCACCCAGACGATGTCGCTGTGGATGTCCCACAATGAGATTGTCTCCGTTGAGCCGGGGAGCCTCGCGCCCATGGTTCTTCTTCGTAATTTGGACATCAGTTATAATAAAATGGTCGACTTTCCGTGGAGGGATCTGCGGAATCTCACTGACTTGCAGTTGCTGAAGATGAACCACAACGAGTTGGTCAGTCTGCCCAGAGATTCTTTCGTGAATCTCCAAAACTTGAGGTCCATTCGCCTGAACAACAACAAGTTCTTAACGATCGCCGAGGGGACGTTTGACGCTTTGGTTTCCCTATCCCACTTACAGATCTTCAGCAATCCTTTTGCGTGCACTTGTTACATCAACTGGTTTCGAGATTGGCTGTCAACGACGAGCATCTCCATCCCCGAGCAGAACTTGATCAGTTGCGCAACTCCAGCGACACTTCGAGGAGAAACGATCATGAACTTGCCCGACATCAAATGCGCGCACCCAAATGTGACAATATGGACCGAACCAAATATTGATGGAACAACTTTGCACGAGGGCGATGCTTTGGTCTTAAACTGTGAGTCTCAAGGAAACCCGAAGCCATCGGTTACGTGGGATATTCGCAGTCGAGCACAAGAACTGAACGTATCTTTCGTAGCGGATGACTCGGGTGAATCAAGTGAAAGGTCGCTATGGTCAAATAATTCAGTCCAGGTCTTCAATAACGGAACCCTTATCATCTCTCCGCTCAGCGCAGAAGTCGCGGGCAACTACAGCTGCTCTGCCTCAAACGAATTTGGCACTGCAGCAGACTCCCTTTCTGTCCAAGTGGCGCCTTCACCAAAAGAACCATCAGCAAAGGACGCAAAGATCACAAACGCTCTTTACGGTACGACCCAACAACCACTCCAACCAATAACTGTAATGTCTGATTTCGATTCTGTATCCGACCCGGATCTGCCCACTGGAGAGATCACCCCCGAGTCTGTGGAAGAGATAATAAGTGCATTCAAATGCGGATCGAACGCTAAAAAACGACACATCTCGAGCCACGTCTCGAATGGGAGCTCGGACGACGCAAAGGACCACGTGTTCGACTTTGGCGTCATTGCCCTGTGGGTGTCAGAAACGGAGGCGACCATACGACTCAACCCGCTTCTCATACCCGGAGACAAGCGGGCGAACCGGACGGCCGCCATCGTCGGCGCTTCGGAGAGCTCTCACAACGCCACCGCGAATCACGAGCAAGACTTGGCTTCGCGAGGACTCTATCTGTGCGTTACCACCGAGCACAAAAACTCACCTGTGCTGTGGTCGCTGGTTAAAGAGGGTCTCAGCACCTACCTGCTCAGTGATTTGCGGCCCGGTACCAACTACTCCCTGTGTTTGACCTATAAGGGCGAAGACTGCGAGATGCAAGTGCTCTTCACCACCAAAAAGAAAGTCCCCAATCTGATCATCATCATCTCGGTCAGCATCTGCCTTCTGACTGTGTCCACCGTTCCTCTCCTCGGAGCCATGTGCTTCCACTTGGTGTACAAATACCACAACAAGACATGCAAGTTGATCCTCAAGGCCAGAGACCAGTACCAGATGGAGAGGACCCTGACCACCAACGTCAACATCGCACCGCTAGCTGAGTCCCGGCGGAATACCGACGTCGATCCGCTGGGCGAAGACGACGGGGCGACCGAGAGTTTGGATGGAGAGAAAGAGGCAGATACGGAAGAAAGCGTCATGACGGAGACTGTCACTTTGTCCCTGTCGAGAGGGAATTTGGATGACTGCGAGGTGGGATCGGACTTCAGCGATCGGCTTCCTTTGGGGGCCGAAGCTGTCAATATCGCAAGCAATTAGAAATACGACAAAGTGCACTTGGTCAAATGTAAAGCTGCTGTTGTTTCACTTTGTGCCAGTGACGTTCGCCACGTTTGTGTGTTGTGTTTTGTGGATGCGCTCCAGTGCCGACTGAAGGACCAAAAAAAAAAACTTAACACTCACTCATGAGACAATCAGACAGTGTGAAGAAAATAAGAAAAGAGACACCCCATTTAAAAAAAAAAAAAAAAAAAGCTTGTCTATTGTTATTGCTGAGAGACACACTTTTAACCAAACAAAGTGGCCTATATTGCAAAACAATACGTCGAGAAAATTGCAAATGTGTAGCAAAAAAAAAATAGATAAGAGTAAAAGATGACAATGTCCCATATGTAATCCGTGTACAGTATCTTCTTATCAGGATACTTTGAAGGATCTTTGACAGCCATCTGATGTGCATACCGTGGCACAACGTTGGTCGCTTCAAAAACATACAGCCGTGTTCAGAATAACAGCAGCGTGTTTTAAAAATACAAAGCAAAGCTCATCCTTAAAATCACGTTTGATGTGTTTCTTCCGGGACCTTAATTATGAAGAATTTGTGGGTTGACCTCAAAAAGGCAAAAATAAAAATTGCAGAATGTTGAATCACCCTTGGCTGGAATATAACGAAAAAGGTTTCAAAAATTGGTTAACTTCATGCAACACAGATGTGAAGCTACTGTCAGGCACGCTTGCTAGCCAAAAAGATATTCAGTGATTCACTGCAAAGTGCTTCCGTAACCGTTTTTACGGTCAATTGATTTTATATATAAATATATATAAAGAGAGAGAGGGAGATTTTTTTTTTGTTGACACTGCTATTTTTGAAAAGCCTCATATTCCCTGTTTTATCCTTTTTTTAATTCACTCTCTATCAAGAACTACATATTTGACACACTTATTGAATAGAATGTGTCGTCTAGTAGAAAAGCGAAGTGATATTTTGACCTTCCCCGAGATTTTTAAACACGCCGCCATGGTTCTGAACACAACCAACCATTGCGATGACATGTACCTTGACCGAAATGTTGAGTTGCTGTTCAGAACATGCTTTGTTATCATTTGGTGCAATTGTTTCGAAAACAGTACAAGTAAAAAAAAAAAAAACTGTGAAAGTACTCATGAGTTTGTGTTCAGTCCAGTTTTAACACGCGCACGCACGCACACACACACACACACAGATTTTTTTCAAAGTCACCTATCTCAGTAAAGGTTGAACATTGGTTGCCTTTGTGAAACGTGGCGCTGAAATAACGTGCGGTAGCAAGAAGCTTGCTGATGCTCTCCTGTCGTGTTTTACCAAAAGTGGAACTCTGACCTCATTCATCCTGTTGTCATGCCGCAATTGATTAGTCCCGATCAATAGACGCGCATGTGAGTTTGGAAGAACAACAGGCCTGTGGACTCCTGCACTTGTACGAAGGGCAACGGACAGCTTCGGTATCAACCAAAGAAGCGTTCACTTTCCTGAGAATGAAGGCTGACTCATCAGAGACAGAGAACGAGGAGAAAGGCAAATCGGATTTGTTTGTTTGTTGGTGTGGTCTCCAAACTTCAAAGCAGAACTGACCAAATTTCCCAGTGTTCAATATCCAACTAATAGATTAAGGACAGCAGCATCGATCATAAGATCAAATCCGCGACCTTTTATTTGTAAATGGCAACAGCTTTGCTCATTGCATTTATGACCGAGACGTGCACGGTTGGGTTACTTCGACTTGTGATCGTAATATGCACGGTACAGTCGAGCCTCGTTACAACGCACCTCGACTGACATAACAAATCTGCACAGTACAACGGTAGTTCCTCGTAACCGAAATAAAATAATAAAATGGCTGCGAACTACGACGTATAATACAGTATGAGTGTTTATAGGTGTATAAACATGAACATGTTATACAGTATACACGTCAATTACAAATGACGTGTATACCGCATGAAGAAAAAAAAAAGATTTTATAAGACATGAAACAAACAACAGGAGCGCTCCTACTTCCTCTTTGGAAACATTCAGTCAGCAAATGTTACTCGCCGTAGGCAACTGCGCTCAAGACCGCGCCGTGCGTCTGGAAGTACAACAACAATGTACGAGTCGATCAGTAGTGTTGCTAAGCAACGGAGGGGAATCTCGCGCGGGATATCTTGTTCATCGGCAAGGTCGGCGGCGGCAGTTAGCTTCCCACGGTTCGTTGTAATGACGAGCTTTTTTCTAATTTGTGGGGAAAATCTGGTCGTTAAAAAGACATTTATGTTATGAAGGTGTTCGCAAAATCGGCAAATGGAAAACGATTTACGTGGAATTGGGACTTTGAAATGTGAACGTCGCAGGGGTGAAAACGTCAACGGGGGACATTGAAACGAGGCTCAACCGTATTATAAATCATGGACGGTGGTTGTCGCAGTTATTCAAATTAGCTTCTCACTTTTTTTACAAATATCATCTAAGCGCCCGACTTCCTTCTGACATAATTTCGACAATAGTTGACAGCGCTGCGGCAATGAGCTTCTCAACGGCTTTTATCTTGGTTCTCATTGGATGGCTCAGTGGACGACGCCTTGCTCGCCTCCCTCTTGCTGTTTGTCTGCTTGCTGCGTTTTGGGCTTCCGTTGAGGACGCTCTCCAAGCTCTGCGTTGTCTGGAAGTGCTTCCTGGAGCCCAGGAGGGAGGGGTTGTTGACCAACGTGTACACCAGCTGCCAGCGGGAGCGAATCCTACGACCGCCGGGCGATCTGTTCGGCGAGATTTCCCCAGTGTTCAATATCCAACTAATAGATTAAGGACAGCAGCATCGATCATAAGATCAAATCCGCGACCTTTTATTTGTAAATGGCAACAGCTTTGCTCATTGCATTTATGACCGAGACGTGCACGGTTGGGTTACTTCGACTTGTGATCGTAATATGCACGGTACAGTCGAGCCTCGTTACAACGCACCTCGACTGACATAACAAATCTGCACAGTACCACGGTAGTTCCTCGTAACCGAAATAAAATAATAAAATGGCTGCGAACTACGACGTATAATACAGTATGAGTGTTTATAGGTGTATAAACATGAACATGTTATACAGTATACACGTCAATTACAAATGACGTGTATACCGCATGAAGAAAAAAAAAAGATTTTATAAGACATGAAACAAACAACAGGAGCGCTCCTACTTCCTCTTTGGAAACATTCAGTCAGCAAATGTTACTCGCCGTAGGCAACTGCGCTCAAGACCGCGCCGTGCGTCTGGAAGTACAACAACAATGTACGAGTCGATCAGTAGTGTTGCTAAGCAACGGAGGGGAATCTCGCGCGGGATATCTTGTTCATCGGCAAGGTCGGCGGCGGCAGTTAGCTTCCCACGGTTCGTTGTAATGACGAGCTTTTTTCTAATTTGTGGGGAAAATCTGGTCGTTAAAAAGACATTTATGTTATGAAGGTGTTCGCAAAATCGGCAAATGGAAAACGATTTACGTGGAATTGGGACTTTGAAATGTGAACGTCGCAGGGGTGAAAACGTCAACGGGGGACATTGAAACGAGGCTCAACCGTATTATAAATCATGGACGGTGGTTGTCGCAGTTATTCAAATTAGCTTCTCACTTTTTTTACAAATATCATCTAAGCGCCCGACTTCCTTCTGACATAATTTCGACAATAGTTTACAGCGCTGCGGCAATGAGCTTCTCAACGGCTTTTATCTTGGTTCTCATTGGATGGCTCAGTGGACGACGCCTTGCTCGCCTCCCTCTTGCTGTTTGTCTGCTTGCTGCGTTTTGGGCTTCCGTTGAGGACGCTCTCCAAGCTCTGCGTTGTCTGGAAGTGCTTCCTGGAGCCCAGGAGGGAGGGGTTGTTGACCAACGTGTACACCAGCTGCCAGCGGGAGCGAATCCTACGACCGCCGGTCGATCTGTTCGGCGAGCTTTCCTGGATCCCTGCAAACATAGAGCAGGCTGCGAGGACAGAACCACATGCCGGTCTTGAGTGCTTGAGGCTCTATGACTCGGTCTCTTGTATTGTCGCTGTTTTGTCTGCATGCTACTGCGGACTGTTCCTGCATAGCTGAATGAGATAACCAAAATATGAGAGTTTTTCGTCCGATGGAGTGCTCACTTTGAGCACAACCACAACAGTGTTAAATTGAGTAGATCAAACCCGACCGTCACTGGCGATCATGGTTGTATTCTTCAACGGTGACAAGTACTGGATATGAAACTTGGGTCAAAAAGTTGTTGACCCGATTTCGGTATTTCCTCAACAGGTGAAGCGGCTATGCTAATTTTCCATTTTATTTTATTTTTTTCACCCTCTTTTTACTCTACTGTGAGGCATAAGAAAACTTCCAGGCTGCCGCAGGCAAAACCATGATTATTACGGACAACATTTACATATATCAGTCCATAATTTATGGGCACGAAAGAAGGTGGACACGGATACAAATGCAGTTTATGATTATTAGCATGAATCTAAAACTAAAATTCTCAATCTGTGTACTGCTGTGCATTGGTGTGATCTTGGCTTTGTTTTCATTAGTTTTAGTGTTAGTTTTATTTTTTTTTTATATATGGAATATTTGTGGTGCAAAGACAAAAGGTCGAAAAAAAAAAAAAAAGGTCATTAAGTTTTGTGTCATAAATTAATTCAAATGATGGTTTCTGTTCGGGTGTACAGCAGAACGGAAATAAATTAGAAATTTAAAATGAACCCCAAAAGCTCATGCAAGATATTAACTGACCAAGACAAAAATAAAGGGAATATTCGCTACTATAACAGTTAGTTTTTTAAAGATAAGATTCGTATCGTATTTTTTTTTAAAAAGCATTTTCATCTTCATTTTCTTCTAAACGAAAATGTTTCGTTCCATTTTAGTTTTAGTCATGTATAACCTCGGTGCAGGGTGTGTGCATGTGTGTAATTTAATGCCTACCTTCCTCTGCATCTCGTATTTTCTGGCCTGCTCGGCCGCCTTCAACCGTGACGTTCAGCAGCAACCCACAAAAAGCTTTCAACACCGGGTGTGTCTGGCTCACCTCCGTCTTCAGAAATTGTGTGTAGTAGTGATATGCTGTGGAGGGGCGAAAGACACATGTCAGTGACATGAATTCAGTAATATCTTCAACCGTTTATTCTAGATGGACATTAAATCATGACTTAATGGCGCTGTTGTTTTGCCCGAGTGCTGCGTTGTCACTGCCGCTTGTGGCCTTTCCACTGCACCTGGGTCATAGGCTTCTGCAGCGCGGTGCAGCAGACTGATGTCGACACGGCCAAGATGCACAATGTTGTACAGTGCCGTGATGACCATTCGCCATATCGCCACTATGAGTCCCACCACGGTGTTGATGAGAAACAGCAGATAAGTCAGAAGGAACAAACTCCCCCTGGAAACCCCCCCAAAAAAAACAATTTAGAACATTCTTTCCCTTGATTATTAACCGTGAAGTGCTTTGCAATCAAGCTCAAAATATACAGCACCAAATGAATGTCGAATGCGGTACCTGTTATTTAAGTCTCGGGTGCCAGCGTCTTTTTTGACAAAGGCAAATTTGGCAGCGACATGCTGAAGCACAGTGACCAGGATCACTGTCACCCACGCAGGCCTAAGTCATCACACACACACAGGTTCAAACTTATTCAATGTTAGCCCACTAAGAATGAAAAAAAAAAAAAATGAATGGATGGCCACTTGCTGACTGACCAAGCCTTGCCAGCAATCTCGAAGACCATTAGGTTGCGCCCGTAAAATATGGGGATGATGATAAGGAAGACCAGGAACAAGAAGCAGATGAAAAACACCACCGTCTGGATTGCCAGACCTGCCAAGATGGCACGCGACAAAAATATGAATTGTTTTTCGACGGTGTTTCTAATATGCTCGCTATTGTGTCAGCAAATGAGTTCGGCAAAGCATGTTTCGGTGTTTTCAATTCAATTCAAGACGTCTTGGGTCCTGTAATGACATCATTGTTCCATCACATGATGGTCACGGATGAAATGGTGACGTGTTTTTTTTTTTTTTTTTTTGGATTGCCAGACCTGCCAAGATGGCACGCGACAAAAATATGAATTGTTTTTCGACGGTGTTTCTAATATGCTCGCTATTGTGTCAGCAAATGAGTTCGGCAAAGCATGTTTCGGTGTTTTCAATTCAATTCAAGACGTCTTGGGTCCTGTAATGACATCATTGTTCCATCACATGATGGTCACGGATGAAATGGTGACGTGTTTTTTTTTTTTTTTTTTTTGAGCTGTACACAACAAGACAACAATAGTTTACAGCGCTGCGGCAATGAGCTTCTCAACGGCTTTTATCTTGGTTCTCATTGGATGGCTCAGTGGACGACGCCTTGCTCGCCTCCCTCTTGCTGTTTGTCTGCTTGCTGCGTTTTGGGCTTCCGTTGAGGACGCTCTCCAAGCTCTGCGTTGTCTGGAAGTGCTTCCTGGAGCCCAGGAGGGAGGGGTTGTTGACCAACGTGTACACCAGCTGCCAGCGGGAGCGAATCCTACGACCGCCGGTCGATCTGTTCGGCGAGCTTTCCTGGATCCCTGCAAACATAGAGCAGGCTGCGAGGACAGAACCACATGCCGGTCTTGAGTGCTTGAGGCTCTATGACTCGGTCTCTTGTATTGTCGCTGTTTTGTCTGCATGCTACTGCGGACTGTTCCTGCATAGCTGAATGAGATAACCAAAATATGAGAGTTTTTCGTCCGATGGAGTGCTCACTTTGAGCACAACCACAACAGTGTTAAATTGAGTAGATCAAACCCGACCGTCACTGGCGATCATGGTTGTATTCTTCAACGGTGACAAGTACTGGATATGAAACTTGGGTCAAAAAGTTGTTGACCCGATTTCGGTATTTCCTCAACAGGTGAAGCGGCTATGCTAATTTTCCATTTTATTTTATTTTTTTCACCCTCTTTTTACTCTACTGTGAGGCATAAGAAAACTTCCAGGCTGCCGCAGGCAAAACCATGATTATTACGGACAACATTTACATATATCAGTCCATAATTTATGGGCACGAAAGAAGGTGGACACGGATACAAATGCAGTTTATGATTATTAGCATGAATCTAAAACTAAAATTCCCAATCTGTGTACTGCTGTGCATTGGTGTGATCTTGGCTTTGTTTTCATTAGTTTTAGTGTTAGTTTTATTTTTTTTTTATATATGGAATATTTGTGGTGCAAAGACAAAAGGTCGAAAAAAAAAAAAAAAGGTCATTAAGTTTTGTGTCATAAATTAATTCAAATGATGGTTTCTGTTCGGGTGTACAGCAGAACGGAAATAAATTAGAAATTTAAAATGAACCCCAAAAGCTCATGCAAGATATTAACTGACCAAGACAAAAATAAAGGGAATATTCGCTACTATAACAGTTAGTTTTTTAAAGATAAGATTCGTATCGTATTTTTTTTTAAAAAGCATTTTCATCTTCATTTTCTTCTAAACGAAAATGTTTCGTTCCATTTTAGTTTTAGTCATGTATAACCTCGGTGCAGGGTGTGTGCATGTGTGTAATTTAATGCCTACCTTCCTCTGCATCTCGTATTTTCTGGCCTGCTCGGCCGCCTTCAACCGTGACGTTCAGCAGCAACCCACAAAAAGCTTTCAACACCGGGTGTGTCTGGCTCACCTCCGTCTTCAGAAATTGTGTGTAGTAGTGATATGCTGTGGAGGGGCGAAAGACACATGTCAGTGACATGAATTCAGTAATATCTTCAACCGTTTATTCTAGATGGACATTAAATCATGACTTAATGGCGCTGTTGTTTTGCCCGAGTGCTGCGTTGTCACTGCCGCTTGTGGCCTTTCCACTGCACCTGGGTCATAGGCTTCTGCAGCGCGGTGCAGCAGACTGATGTCGACACGGCCAAGATGCACAATGTTGTACAGTGCCGTGATGACCATTCGCCATATCGCCACTATGAGTCCCACCACGGTGTTGATGAGAAACAGCAGATAAGTCAGAAGGAACAAACTCCCCCTGGAAACCCCCCCAAAAAAAACAATTTAGAACATTCTTTCCCTTGATTATTAACCGTGAAGTGCTTTGCAATCAAGCTCAAAATATACAGCACCAAATGAATGTCGAATGCGGTACCTGTTATTTAAGTCTCGGGTGCCAGCGTCTTTTTTGACAAAGGCAAATTTGGCAGCGACATGCTGAAGCACAGTGACCAGGATCACTGTCACCCACGCAGGCCTAAGTCATCACACACACACAGGTTCAAACTTATTCAATGTTAGCCCACTAAGAATGAAAAAAAAAAAAAATGAATGGATGGCCACTTGCTGACTGACCAAGCCTTGCCAGCAATCTCGAAGACCATTAGGTTGCGCCCGTAAAATATGGGGATGATGATAAGGAAGACCAGGAACAAGAAGCAGATGAAAAACACCACCGTCTGGATTGCCAGACCTGCCAAGATGGCACGCGACAAAAATATGAATTGTTTTTCGACGGTGTTTCTAATATGCTCGCTATTGTGTCAGCAAATGAGTTCGGCAAAGCATGTTTCGGTGTTTTCAATTCAATTCAAGACGTCTTGGGTCCTGTAATGACATCATTGTTCCATCACATGATGGTCACGGATGAAATGGTGACGTGTTTTTTTTTTTTTTTTTGAGCTGTACCCAAACAGACGATTGCAGCTTGGTATCCAGTCAAGCCCATCCAACACAAAACACCCGATTTAGATGGACGAAGGCTCTTTTGACTGTTGTAGAGGTTGTAGATTTCGCCCCTGTACAGTCCCCTCAGGTTAGACCTGAAGCACAGAGCACAAGGGAGTGATGGGAAGGCTCACTTTCAATATGACCATTCGTCCACTTTCCCGACCACTTTTCCTCATAGGGTCACGACTAAGGCTCAGCCGATCCCAGCTAACGTTTAGCGAGAGGCAAGGTACTTTCTGGAGTGGTCGCCAGTCAAAGAGACAAAAGTCCATTCGTTTCTTGAGAGCTACGGACTCCAATTTCAGTACCTGTGGAGTACCATGGCCCTCATGAGCATCACCAGACTGACCACACAAGACAGGGTCATTGCACAGAGGTAGCAGACTGAAAAAAAAAAAAAAAAAACGTACACACATTACACATATTATCAATCCAAATGCATTTTTATTCGAGTGCCCCAAACCTTCCAGCAGCCAAGTGTAGAAAGTGACAATTCGGACAACCTCCATTCTGTCATCGGAGAGGACGATCCCAAATCCCAGTAAGAGGAAGGCAATGTTCTCGTCAATACCGGCACGGACAATGTGGAGAGTCGGGACAACCAAGACGACTAACAATAGGGCTGTCTGAAAGGCAAAAAAATGTTTAGTGTAATGCCAAAATAAAAAAAATAAAAAAAGATCGACCACAATATGATCTACTGTATTCTCGAGTGTGAAGACAGGCTTTTAATTATTTCATGTATTCATTAACATATGCCTTTTTTAACATCAAAATGGGCTTTGCGTGACTTCTTTCTATTGACGTAGACTGTAAATGTAAGAAAAGTATAAAATTAAAGTGCCATAAAATCCTGTGAATAACATGCACCCGTGTGTAATATGCCCCACCCCCCAAAATCAACTTTAAAAAGCAATTTTTTTTTCTCTGTACTTGATAATGCTGATTTGCTGGTATTCTCGATAATCAAAGTGAATAATCTGAATGAAGAAAGATTCAAAACTTACCAATAAACTGTAAATGCTTTTGAATCCAGGTTCAAATCTTTGCTCTTTCCCATCCCCATAGTTAATTAAGGACTTTCAAACTATTTTTAAAATCATGTTTTAAAACATGTTATTCTTACATTGTATGCTCTTTTAGTCCTGTAAATAAACATTTTTTTAAAAATTTGCACTGTTAATTACAGTTTGTGAGGCACATGAGTTATGTTGTACTGTATATCAAATGTACCATAAATCAGTGATTCTGTTTTTGTTGGGTTTTTTTTTTTTTCAAACAACCACTAGGTGCTGCTTTGGTAGTGGTAAATGTCTCAACAATTATGAAAAATCCTCATTTCTTTGGCATCTTAAAAGAAAGGAGATTTTAGCGTGACATGTAAATCAAACATTGTGGTGAATACGCTTCAGTTTTCAAGTAGACTGTAATAAAATGAGGCGTCAAGGTGAGGTGTTCAAGATCACTTACATGGTATATCGCCACCAAAGCTACAAATACGGATACGGCCAGCTTTAGAGGGAAACGAAAGACTAAAAGAAGCACAAAAAAAAAACAACAACAAAGCTGAGTGGAGCTCAGAATGAAAACGCCGACATATTTTTGAAGTGAAATGCACACACCTTTTTCTGGAATATAAATATAACTCTTAGTCACTGCCAGTAGTCTCTCCACCGGTGTTGCTTTGTCAGACGACGAGGACCTGCAGAGTGTCAACAAAAACAACCCGTCACAGCTCTCAAAGATATTCACCAACAATTTATAACTGGAGAAGTCAATTTGAGAACATGGGAGGGAGCTTTATTGGGCTCTTAGAACACATACGACGCCTTTGAATGACAGAATTTCTTATGGACTCATTGAATGCTGAACCAGCAAATGGTTTCAGTTCACCTGACTGCTGTTGGCTCCTTCTTTTTCAGAAGGGCTTTGACATAGTCGCTGTAGTAGGAGCTGTCGAGGTCCTGCAAGAAAAAAGAATTCAGACTTTGGTCAAATGCTTTGTACGGGAACGCAGACGAAACATCCTATTTGCTAAAATTGTTGCCACAACTGTATGCAAGTGATATCTGACGTCGAAACAAAACCTTGTATTTGGTTCCTTAGTGCGAGGGAAAAAGAAAAGGGAAAAAAAACATCACAGGTCTTGTGTAATCAGCTCACAAAAAGCTCTTTCTTGTAATCATGAACGTGATGCTTCACACTGCTCAAATACGTGTCGTTCAGTGGCAACGAATATGCGTTTTCATCCCTTTCCGGCTCACTACCGCACTCGACAAATTGCAAGCGAAGCCGCCAACAAGCATTTCTCACCTCTTCGGTCTTTGTTCCTCTGAAAAACAGCAAAGGAAACCGGACGCAAAGATACGCCAGGCAGGCTAGCTGAGGCAAACTTGCAAGCAAAGAGTAGAACTTATACAGCTGTGAAACGAATGGGAGACATGCTCAGATGTTGGATAAAACAGGAGAAAGTAAAAAAATAAATAAAAATGTATTCTGAATGCATTACCTCCGGAGTCTTTGGGCAGTCCAACTTTTGCCACAGCTGAACGCCAAAATGGCTGACGGAGAGCAGCGAGCCAAACACATAACCGGCCTTGTGCTGCAAAGTGCTACAAACCATCAGAGGGTAGTAGAGAACCGGATAGTAGAAGATGGCCGCTATCTTCATGAGCTCTACACAAAAAAATGGAGGTGAGATCATCATATTTTGAAATCCATTTTCCAGTTTCCAGAGATACAGGAAGACTGGAGTTCGGATTCAAAGCCCTAATCTCAGAACTGTGACGTGGATATGTAAAAACACTGAGTCACTGTGCCGCCTACAGTCAATATATATGACATCTTTTCGTTGCACTCCGAATGTGCACCTTTGATATCAGCTGCTGTGTCTTTGGAGAAAGGCAGGGGATCAGGTGCGATCACCAGCATGGCCAGTTTGCTGAACAGCAGTCCAAACACAGCCATCGCCACACCTTTGCTCTGTGTCTGATCCAGGAAGTTGGTTGGACTGTGAGACCATGCAGGAGCATCAATCCATGTCACACGGACATAATCGGTAATCAAAAAAAAAAAAAAAATCAGGCACTAACAGAACTCACCTAAAGATACTGGAGGATCCTCGTGTAAATCCTCGGCAGAATTGATTTCTTCGCGTCAGAGCTGCCAGAATGAGCACAATCACCAGCTGGGGGAAAAAGGACCTCTGTTCACATTTATCAGGACGCATGAACTTTTATTTTGTTGGTACGCTTTCTTTCGTCTAAATCAGTTGATGGGACTGTAAATCCGGGACGCTTCAGCCCAGTTGGATGACTGAAATGCACTTTGCCGTGGAGTCAGCCAATCCTCCATGAAGCATCTCCAGTTGGTCCCAAATGCTGCTGCTCGCCTCTTGACTGGAACTTTTGAGATGGAGCGCATAACTCCTACTCTGGCATCCCTTCACTGGCTCCCGATACATTTGAGAGTTCTTTTGAAGATTCTATTATTTGTTTTCAAATCTATAAATGGCCTCGCCCCACCTTACCTCTCTCAGCTCCTCTCTGATTTTTATTCTTTGGCCTTTGACTCAGTATGAGACGTGATTTTTAGTTTGACATTTTTTGTGCCTTTGAGTGTTTTCGTAGCAGGTTGTCATTGACGGAGGTTTTAGCAGCTTTTTACTTGGCTTCTTTTTCAGTGTGTACTTACCGATATAGAGAGCATGCATATGTGAAAGATTGCATCATTCGCTGTTGGGTCACACGGTGGAATGACCCTGGAGGAGAAATACATGCAAATAAATTCATGTTGATCGATCTGTATTACAGTATTGTGGGATGATTCAATGGCCGATCCTTCTTTTCCGATTTCAAGCTCGAGGGTGATCGCTACTTACTCTTTGGGAGGCTTTGTAGGCTCTGCGTTATCGGAGTACCAGTCGGAATAATCATAGTAGGAATACTCAAAAGGTTCCGATTCATCCTTGCTGTGGTTCATCGTGCCTGCTCGCTGAAGTCCAAAAGGTGACGTGGGACAAATAAACCTCTTGCGCCTCTCTTTCCCACTTCGATTCAGGTGAGACGGGCCAGAACGGCTGACGCTGATGCAAAGTTGCGACCAAATGGCGCAATGAATACCGTTAAGAATTATACACAGTAGATTAGCCGCTGCACAGGGGGGTGGGGAGGGAGGGGGCGTGCAAGAAGTGGAACAAGATTTTGACCTAAGGTGAACCCTGATGCCCAGTGAAGATTAGCTGTGCTATTCGGCCCGTATGTTCAACCAAAACTGAAGCAGTGAACCACTTGCATATTTACGGCGATTTATATGGGCAAGGATTTTTTTTTTCTGGACCCTTTTATTGGCTGAAATACTCCATTCATTGTTTTTGTGCTCAGGCAAAAACTCGGTGTAATATATTTCAATTGCTTTGGGGCTACCTTATGGTGTCCTGGTGCCAAGGAACTATGTTGGAGTGAAATATACATGTTGGCCTGTGGCGTCCGTGAGCATTTAAAAACCTATTGGCATTGCGGATGTGAAGCAAGGACTCTTGTTATCGCCTTTCCCGGGCAATGAGCACTGCTCAGTGTGACGGATAACTTTCATTTGTTGTTGTTGTTGTTGTTGTTTTCCTGGAGGCACACACAAGATTTTAAAAGAGGAGTTGAAATGAGCAAAGGATCCAGCTTTCAGTTTGTCGTTTGTTATTTTATGGGGGCGGGAATTATTCCCATTTTTATAACAACACGTCTTGAAAAACACCGTATGCGATTTAGAGTCAAAACTGGTTCTTGTCATTTTCATGTTGCGACGTGGAATTAAGCTTCATGCCTTGCTCTGCCTGTTACTGAAGAGACTAATCCCATCCGAAGATGAAAAACTCCGGTCTAAACAAGGGAAACTTTTGTTTGCAGCCACCTTGGGGGGAAAAAAAATTAACACAGCTCTTACCGACAAAGAATTAATAGATTAAATAGAGAAAATCAACATAAGCTGGCAAATGTCAAGACACCCTTGTCCAAAGTGAAACAAACGTTACACCTATTGTACCTGTGGCGTGAGCCCACCTCAGAGACAAAAGGAGCGCAAACCTTTTTTTTTTTCCTTATGATTGTGCTATGAGACGGAAACCATCTTATAGTGTTTGGAACGAGACTACTGGGAAATCAGCTCTTCTCCCACTTTGACTTTGCTCCACCGCTCCAATCCTTCGAACGCAAATGGGCAGTTGCGCATGTCGGAATCTGGTGCGCAATCAATATTTCGCACTCCACTTAGTCGCAGCCCTGATTGTATACATTAATCACACTCCGCACACGAAAGGACAAACTTTCGGCTGTGAATATAAAGAGGCTTAATGGGTGTGTGAGCTCCGTCATATGACGGAGGCTGTGAGGCCCAGCGGAGCCACAGATTATCAGCGTTGCATGAGAATAATCCTAAACTGCTGCTTTTGCAACATGACTAGGAAAACAAAAACATCACACATGAGGTGTGTGTGTGTGTGTGGGGGGGGGGGGGTTGATTGCTATATTTGGCTAAAATTTAATGTTTTCACTACTTCTTCGGTTTTCTTGTTCCTGTACAGACAAAGATGTTGAAGGTTTGAAAAAATATTTTGGATATGTTAAAAGACCTTTGATGATTCATCAAGTAATAAATGGCTTCAAAAGGTCAAACTGGCTGCCTACTATCAGCTTTTTTTTTCTCACCAATAATCAACTATCGAGGCTATAAGGGCGAAAAAAAACGTGTGTTGAATTTGCTCCGTTTTATTTTGTCAAGTGGTTGCATGAAATAAAATCATCTCGATCCAGGTCATTTTTGAAAGTAGACTGTACATCAATTTCACAAATGTATCTGCATCCAGATGATTCTATTTCATGCAGCCACTTGATAGATATAATGGAATAAATTCAACAAAACCTTTTTTTCGGTGTCCAAAGTTACACAGCATTCTTTTTTTTTTTTTTTTAAGCTTTGGTTAAACTCTTTGAGTATTTGTGAGGACCGTTGTCAGGTTATATTTTTCAATCCTGCACTTTTAATTGCAGGAATACATTTGGGCTTTTTTTTTTTCTTTGACTACCACTTGAGGCAGCAGAGGCTAGCTGTTCACCGGAAGGTCCGTGATTGAAAACACACACCCGCACACACACGCTGCATGGCTGGCCACCAATGCATAAAGTGCGTATGCGTTCATTCAGACTTCACCCAAACTAGTGATTCATACTAATGATACTGTACATGGGCTATGTGTCAACATAGAATATCATGGAATTAGTGTACAATGCTGCACTGTGATGGACAGAGCTGTTTTGATTGTTCATGAGCAGACTACATTTTTTAATTAATTTATTTAATTTATTACACAAGCCCATAAAATGAGAAAACAAAGCAGAAACTGTTGCTGTTACTTTATCTCAAGGCAGGACAACATGAATACACATTCACGCCTCTGACGACAGCTTTGAGTACCCAGTCCGTCTATCCACCCAGCAAATGAATTTGTGCAATGTAATAGACAGTGGAAGGAGAAAAGAGAGAAACACTCGCAGGTGACTGTGATACTGAGCGGGTGAACACAAAAATCAGATTGTAAATAATACACGAAGAAGACGATACAGAATGAACCTGGCATGGCAAGAGCGGACAGTGTGACCTTGAGATTCACCTTAAGAGTTAACAAAGCACCAGCCTTCCTCCATACTGGTAGCAAATTGAAAACTGCACGTTCTTCAGTTTTTAAACATGTCGCACAGCAGTTTCTCCATCGGAGTGTTTCCGATGGTCCGGTGGAAGAACAGCAGCTCGATGCGCTCGGAATTCACAAAACGCAGCGATGGCAGAAGAAGCAGCAGCTTTCCAAACCTAAACAAATAACAAAAAAAATTGATGTAATTGCTATGTTCTACTGTCACACTTTTATGACATTCATGTTTGTATCGTTGGATGTGGATTTAGTTAATTCATCTAATTTTCACATTTTCAACGCAGGTCAAAAAGTGTTAGACCAGCAATTTCAGAGAAAAAAAACATTTTTTTCTTTGCATTTTTTTTTTGTTTTTGTTTTTTAGAGGAAAAAGAGAACAGACTTGTGTTGACCCCAGAGGCCAATGAAACAGTCGATCTCATTATGAGCGATGACAAGACAAGGTGTTACCTGGCCGGCTGAGCGGGGTAGTGAGAGCGGATATGTTGTCCCAGCATCACGTGCGACTGATCCTGAAGGTTCTCCACTTGTTCTGGATCTTTTAGACCGCGGGTCTCTGACGATGACAAGGGGTAATGAGAATGAAAAAAAAAATACTAATAATAATGCTCAGTTGTTATTTGCTTTTAAGGTTTTATATTAAACTCTGTTGCCATTTACGGAGCACGGAACTAGATTTGGTAACTTCTATGTGTAATTGTAGTTGTCACGCCTTACAATGTGTATAGGGAACATCATGCAAATATATAGCAGTTTATTATTAGTCTAAATAATGATGACATGCATTTTTTTTAAGTATGTATTTTGAATATACAGTATATAAATACTTTCATTTTGATTTTTTAACCCTTTCATGCACCCTGGAACATGACGACATGATAAGATGTCCACTGTAGTGACCGCTGTCCCCGAAAGGGTTAATTCACCCACTGATGTTAGTAAATGAGATTTAAAAATCCGGGTACTCTTGTTTCCTCCCACATATCAAAAAACATGCATGGCAGGTTAATGGAACACTCAAAATTGTCCCTAGGTGTGAGTGTGAGCGCGGATGGTTGTTCGCCTCTATGTGCCCTGTGATTGGCTGGCAACCGGTTCAGGGTGTCCCCCACCTACTGCCCGAAGACAGCTAGGATAGGATCCAGCATGCCCTCGACCCTTGTGTGGATAAAGCGGTTCAGAAAATGGATGGATTTTAAAGACTGTCTTAAAAAAATGTGAATGACCTTAACACTCACTAAAATTATTAAAAACTGTTACCTCAACCGATTATTTCTAATTGGTCATAGTTTGAATATCATGTCCAGCAATTTGAAAATGAAATGATATTATTTCACTGAATGAAAAGGGCTTTTTCCAGCTTCGGCTCCTTACCAGGCTTAAAGAGCACAATGGCTTTGAGGCAGGCGAACTCCGTGGGGTCGACGGCGAGAGCCTTAAAGCGGCTGAAGACCTCCTGCAGGAGTCTCAGGTCCAGGCCGGTGAAGCTCGTCTTGCCCTGCATGCCTGGGCACAGGTCTGGCAAGGAGAGCAGGGGGCAGCTGTCCAGCGGTAGGGACCACTGGATTGCGCACAACAGGAAGAGCTCGCTCCATGCCTCCTCAAGTAGGATCACCTGCAGGCACAGCAAAAGGGTGAAACCTAGACCGATACTGTGATGCGTCCGTTTCAAACTCGCAGCACATGAAATATTTATCCAGTGAATCCTCAGAGTGCATATATCAATGAGCATGTGTCACCTGGTCTCTGAAGGGTAGGTTGGAAAATACTGGCAGGTTCTTGGCCCACTTCACCGACATGAAGAGGAGCCTCGCTGAGGTCTCGTACACGTTTTCTGAGGTGGATGGGTAAAGTGCCATGTGGTACTCCGAAGACGCTCGCTCCGGCTCGTTGCTGGTCACGTCGATGTTCTCGTCAACTGGAATAAAATAAGAAATGGCTTCTGCTGATGACGATCGCGGAAGTGTGTTTCCTTACTCAACTCAACTCAAATGTATTTATAGAGCACTTTCAAACAGCCATCGCTGCACACAAACCAAATCACTTTGGGCTCCGTCACTTAAGTGCAGCAAAGTGAAGATACTGTCAATCATGGGCCCTTGGAATCATTATCGGCTACACACCCTGACAGCTTCCTTGGGCCACACTAATCCTGTATATCAGCACGATTCTGTTTTCTCCCACTCTACCTCCTGTAGAAAATATATCTGAAAGTAAAAAAGCTCCTCACCATCCTCAGGCTCCAGCTTGGCGCAGGTCTCGGCCGTCATGAGGCTGGCCATGAAGCGGTGATTGTTCTGCGGGCTGACGCAGCGTTGGGGGGGCACAGAGGAGCTGATGGCGACGGACGAGGTGATGTGGGGCCACGTGATGACGGAGCCGCTCGAGGAGGACGAGGATGAGGACGAAGAGGAGGAGGTGGGCTCCCTCGTGGTGGCCAGGTGCTCCTTCTCATGGTCCACATCGATGGAGTCCAGACGCACCTGCGCTGTGCTGCGGGGCTGCCGCTCATTCTGCACAGCTGGGAATCGCATGAAAACGTTCACATGAAAGAGTTCGCTTACACACGCCACGAAGGCCTTCCAATGTAATCCCACACATTTACCATCTTTATTCATGCCCGCCTGCAGGCACTTCTTCAGCCGGCAGGCCTGGCACTGGTTGCGATGTGCTTTGTCCACCGGACACATGCCTGTGCCTGCTTGACACCTGCAAACCAACAACCGCATTTGTTGTCAAACAAAGCTGCATATTCGACTTTTCTGAAAACAGCTGCGAGCCAATGGATAAACACTTTACATATTTCGGTACACTAGTATCAGCTTTACTTTTGCTTGCCACGGCAGAGAACACTTGGCCTATAATTACAGTAAATTGCAGCTGCAACCAAAAAAAGTGCATAATTAATTGAATACATTTGAGGGTGTCAATGAAAGCAGTAGCGTTAACAAGTCAAACTTATTCATTCAACTTACTGTATGTCCTTATTTATCCCCAAATCACGATAACATCTTAATTCAACTCCACATGTAAAATGGCTGCACTTTTGACATTAAAATCACTTAAACAAAAATAATTTTCCAATGTATTTATCATAAAAAAAAAAAAGAAATTAAAAATTGGCGACACTGTCTCACTGTCCTACCTGTAAATGAGTCTCCTCCTCACGCTGCGCTTGAAGAAGCCGCTGCAGCCGTTGCAGGCGTAAATGCCGTAGTGTTTTCCACTGCTGGTGTCTCCGCACACTTTGCAGACCAGAGCAGGGCTGAGGGCTTTGCCAGGGGCCGGACTCTTGGCTGAGGGTCACAGACAAGTCGGTTATTTGCATTCATTCAGCGGCACATTCTGTCATACATGGTGGGCCTGCCATCTGTGGTGCGAGCCGAGTTTGTACGAAGCTGGCAGTGTGGCAAGCCGCACAATATTGCAACAGCATTTTGAGTGGATGATTCTCAAATGAAAACAATCCATGAACTGAATTGAATCCAAACAATGAAAAGAAATGAGCTATGGCGATCAAATGATTCGTCTAGTTGGTAACGGCCAAAGCTCTTTCCTTGGAGTACACCTGTTGCTCCTGAAGTTTTGGCTCTCACCTCCTCTGCTGTCGTCTGTCCCGCCGCTCCCGGTCGACTCGGCGGGCGAACAGGAGGGCATCATTGGGATCTTTGTCAGGTGATCCTCCATCATTTTGACAAAGAATGAACGATGATTGACAGAAGGGAAATAGCTGTCTCCCAATTCTGAAACAGTGCCTTGTAGAAGAAGCTTCAAGAAGAAAAAAAAGGGGGGCCCGCTACAGCTCCCAATGTGCAGATGGCAACCTGAGTCCCCTGCAGAGCCTGTCAACCAACCGGCTGCAGCTTCTGGTGCGCGGAAGCAGACTCGAGCCCCACACTTGCTGCACAGGTTGTATGTCCTTCCACCGACCATCCGGGTCCGTCGCTGTCTGTGGGTGCTCCTCGTGCCTTGTAGAAGAAGCTTCAAGAAGAAAAAAAAGGGGGGCCCGCTACAGCTCCCAATGTGCAGATGGCAACCTGAGTCCCCTGCAGAGCCTGTCAACCAACCGGCTGCAGCTTCTGGTGCGCGGAAGCAGACTCGAGCCCCACACTTGCTGCACAGGTTGTATGTCCTTCCACCGACCATCCGGGTCCGTCGCTGTCTGTGGGTGCTCCTC